TCGCTCTCTTTTACTTATGGCCTCAAAGACTGTGAAAGAACACTTTCAACAATCTGTGCTTCAAATACACAGTATGCCTCTAAACATATTAGGAGAGGGAACAGATAGAGGAAGGCAGAGGATGCGAAAACGCATGCTGCTGCATTGCAGGGGAGTCAGTGACAGAAATGCAGTCTAAATATATTGTCCTCATTCTCATAAAGTTTAGATTAGTGTTGCTGTCTACTATTTAAGGAAACAACTACAGCGACTAATTGGACGAGCAGAGTAACTTAAAGGGTGGAGTTAAACGAACAGAGGGAAGGACTTAACTGTTTCTGTCTCAGATTCAGTGTACAGGTTGGTGCGCAAAGCCTAGTATTATCAAGCCTCTGGTTATCGGCTGAAATAACACAGTATGTCTATGGACGTCAATGGAAAAGTTACTGTATTTCCCACCAGAGTGCTTTATTTGACATTCAAGATTGCCAGTTGCTTTTACGTAGGCACTGATTAAGTGAGATTGAGAGAGATGTAGTGAGTGAAAGTGAAAAAGAACAGGGACCAGTGGGGATTGCAGCCCATTATTAGAGCCCTCCTCTGACAGAGAATAATGAGGCTGACTGTATTATCTGGGCCACAGAGATGGAGACTACAGGGCCACAGCTCATCACATGAGCCTGGGACTAAAAAACACTGAAAACCAACAGAGTTGCTACAGAAATGCGGACTAACCTTTATTGTATAATTTCCATGCATGTTGTTGAAATAACATCTGTTTCTGTGTGTGCGTGTGTGTGTGGGCGTGCACGCACTGGAAAAAAGTGAGAAACTGTCCAAACTTTTGCATGCATGCCTAGCTATGTGCCTGCAACTCTTTCTCCCTACTAGGACAGTTTATTTGTTTTGTACCCAATCCTCCATTTCAAAATCTTAATGCCAGTGTTTTTGTTTTTTTTGTCCTCTTTCCCTCTTCAGCCAGAGAACCTGCTCCTGGCAAGCAAGTGTAAGAATGCTGCAGTGAAACTGGCCGACTTTGGCCTCGCCATTGAGGTGCAGGGGGATCAGCAGGCCTGGTTCGGTGGGTACAGTCACATCTGCATTTTAACCCATAAGCTATTGATGGGCTCACAGTGACCGCAGTGATAGAAACGTAGACTGGTAATGAAAGATAAATTTAGCTTCCAGTTCTGAAAAAGCCACTGAACAGAGGCATTTGCACAAGTCAGCCTGGCAATATCAAGATTAGTAGTGCTGATACACCCGTACTGATCAGTGAGTGTGTCTGTGGCATTTCTCAAGGAAGAGATTAGCCAGTGCTTCACAATCAACTCATCTTAAATCCTCAAGATTTCAGTCCTGTTTGGACCAATAGGTCATATCTTACTGAAGATTATGTTGCTTCCTATATAAGCTGATCCACAGATAGCACCAACACAGTCTATTGCCTTGAGCATGTCAATCAATTGTTTGGGTTTTTTTTTTTTTCTGCAGGATTTGCTGGCACACCGGGGTATCTGTCCCCTGAGGTTTTGAGGAAGGAGGCATATGGCAAACCTGTGGACATCTGGGCCTGTGGTGAGAAATATACACAAGGCACATATGGTATTTCCTAGATGATAAAAACTGAGAAACAAACTGTCTGAAATCCAGTTTCTAACAAAATGTGCATTTTGTGTGTTTGTGTGTATGTCTGTGTACTTGTTTGTCCATGTGTTTTTGTGTGTGTCTCAGGGGTGATCCTCTACATCCTGCTGGTGGGCTACCCTCCTTTCTGGGACGAGGACCAGCACAAGCTGTACCAGCAGATCAAGGCTGGGGCTTATGATGTGAGTCTCCTCTCCCGCTCTCTCATTTCTCCCTTCCTGCTGTAATGCCCTCCCCTCCCCTCCCACTGCCCTCTTTCCTTTTTGGCTGCTATTACATAACTCAGTCACCTCATTCATATTTCAGGGGGTGCAAGGGAATGAGCCTCACCTTAGAACACATGGCATGGAGATCAGATTGAGCTCCATGTCAGACAGAGATAGTGAGAGAGAGAGAGAGAGAGTCTTCCTGAGTCTGGCAGTGATTCTGGGCTCATAGGACACAGTGTTTATGCCTAAACACAACGGGACCTGATGGGTTGAGAATTTC